CCCCCCCTCCCGCGGGTAGTGAGTGGCTGATGAAATATTTATCCTTTTCTTGGGGGTCCGAGGTTTGAGATGGGATGATTTTTTGAGAGTTGGGGGCTGATGTTCCTGCTGGTGCTCCTGCTGGTGCTGATGCTGATGACGCTGGTGTGTTTGACGGACTTTATTGTCCTGACCAACATTGAAATCAAAGGCAGAAAGCTCCCATTGAAGCATGGTTGCACCTGCCTTCTCAAGACCCCAAGCTCGCACACAGGCCGTGTACCATGTACCAATCCCGCCGTGATGGCTTCATGCACAAGCGTTGCTCCTTGGTCACTTATGTTCTCTCATCTGCACTGGGGAGACTGAAGACGCAGGAATGCAATGGACGATGCTGAACACGGTGCTTTCAGGCACAGCAAGGAGCGCCCCGGCTTCAGAATGCACTGCAGCCATTGTCTCGCAGCAGGCACACGCACCTGGGTATGTATATGTACGCAGGTACCTACTCGGTAGGCATGTATGTACATTAGGTACGCACAAGGGCCGTACCCCGTATTGTGCTCCAAGTAAGTACGCGGCACAACTCATCCGGGCACTGACAAGTCGGGGCAGGCCGGCCGGCTGGTTACATGTGAGGCATGCTGTGCCGGCTTCAAACGTTGGCATGTCAAGCTCAACATTGGACTTTTGAAGCTCTTTGAGGCAACGCAGCCCTGACTCCTGCCTGGCACCAACCAAGCCACTAGGCACACACCCTTGGTTGGCCCCGTTTGTCCGCTTTTCAGCCCCGTTCTTGTCGCTTAGCTCCTTCCACGCCCCTTCAACGCTCCTTCCCATTGACCCCATTCACCATCTCGCTTCAACCTGGAGCATGAACTTCCCCACCCCCAACCTGACTGAGTCTTCACTCCCCGTCCGTCCACGTCGACCACTTGAACTTCTCGGCTCGAGGCTCCCAAATTCCTATTCCCTTTCCTCGGGCCATGGCTCGTTTGTTGCCCCCGTTCTGGCCCTGCATGCCATTGTCTGGCAGACAAGCATCTCTTTTCATTGTCTTTCTCTTTTGACATAAATTCACCACTCCCCGGGCCCGGCTTGCCTACTTTTTTTGCTGCCTCCATTCACGACATTCACCACCACTTGTACCAACACGCTCTCTTCTTCTCTGCTTCCAAGTTGCACTTCTGCTTGCATTGCACCAACACAAGTCCTGATAAACATCCCGCTCCATATTTCCACCTCGTCGGCGTCGATCAAAGTTGGTGGCCCACAGAATATACCCGTCACGCAACTATCCTGCTCTATCCTTAGAGCTGCTTGGGTTCACAGCCTCGGTTCCCAGTTTTCTGCCAACTCTACCCACAGATTTACGCAAGCTCGTCGTGTTCAACTCTATTGACGTGGAGCGCAACAAGCTGAAACTTACTGTATGCGTTCCGCCTTCCGCCTCTAAAAAAAGCATATTCAATTTTGCTTCCGATGACTAACTCGTTGCTGTCAAAAGTGAAAAAGAAAAAAAAAAAGACTGTCCAGTCCATCACTGCCCCTCTGCAAACAACATGCCTCACATCGCCTCACCCGTCGCCATGCCCTCTCAGCGAAATAACCTGCGGCTGTTCACGTCGCAAGACTTGTACAGCAGCCTCAACGCCAACTTGTCCTACAAGGACAACCGACCATCAACACCAGTACGACGCATCCAGGAGAACGACTACACTGTTCCCGCGCCCCCTCCACCAAGCCCCGTCAGCTTCAGGGCCGACAAATGGAGCATGCCCAGCCGCAAGTAAATGGGCATTGAGCGCTACATCGGCCCCGACTTGCATTCGTTCTTAGGGTATGGGCCAATTTTCCATGGGCCTATATTCTACACAGGCATCTGTGTTTTATTTCTTTTTCATTACATTTCAGCGGCACAGGGAGTTTCGGGCATATCACTGGACTGATTTTTATGTATCACAAGACGTATTAATGTGGAACAATGGGGAGGGAGGGAAGGAAGGAGAAAGAAGAAGATGGGGCATCAGCCAAGAGAAACGAAAAAAGGACGGCAAGGGAGTAATGCAGGTATAGATTTGTTATATGGCGTGACGTTCCAGTAGCCAGATTTCGCGGGACGGAAAACGGTGGTGAAGGAATTCATATTTTTTTCCCACATGTTGACATGTCTGTTCCAAGCCGATGCTCCAGCGTGACGTGCTGATGCATATTTTCATGCTGTCGTGTCCCCAGGTACATGGCATGAAGATATGCGACAACTGTGATGGGCGGTTTCGTTGGACGAGATTGAAATGAGCACTCTGTCCATTCAGCAGCCGCCGTTGCACACGGGAACGTGGTGTCGGGTAGACTTGCAGAAGATTTCCAGAGAAGCACATGGCGTCCGGCCCAGGCAAATCCCGGTACCTGCATGCCGATCTGGGGCCAAGAGGCTTGAAACCCGGTGCGAAGGGGTTTAAGAAAGAAGAAGGAAAAAGAAAGAAGGGGAAACCCATGAAACGGTCACAAGCCTGTTGGCCATGTCCAAGTGGACGGCACCTCTGCTGCCTTTGATGAATGTGCGACGGCGGTACAACTTTGCATGACGTGTAATCTGGCGGTATGTACTCATAGGTGAGTATCCGTCGAATTGGAAGCGTGGTGTTTATCGAACGGGGCGCCTTTTATTTTTCCCTCACCGGCTGTGAGTGACGGCTGATGACGACGGGGATCTGGCCGGTGAGGAATGTGGCTCCCATGTAGCTGTGCCATACCGACACCCGATGAGTTGCTTGTCGGGTGGGAAGTGCAGACGTGTTTTTTTCCCTTTCTTTTTGGTTTGAAGGGTGTGCTTGGGTCGAGGTGCGTCGAATGTCTTGGTTTGACCGTGGTGGTTGGTGATGATGGGCTGCTGGTGGTGGGATGGACGGGCAACACGGCGTGGGAGGTGTTATTGGCCGTGGGGGAGGATCGGATGCATCCATGGAACCCCGAGGCTAATTATGTTTCTTGTCATTGTTGATTTTGTCTTCTTTTCCAGTTGCGCTGCCTCGTTTGGTATTTGGTCCATGGTGGCGACGGGGTTGCGTTGGGCGGGTAGAGAGTTGTATGGGTGCATGTCCTCCTCTCCTTTACGTTCTTCCCTTTTCTTTCCTTTTTTTTGCGGTTGCTGCGTCTGAATCGTTGGATGATTCTCAAATACGGATTTGTGAAGAATGCCACATCCTTGGCCACCATGGTTTGCGACCTTGCGACAAAGGCGGTGTGTCTGGATGAGATGCGGCGTGCTGCATGCTGGTGCTTGGTAAGCTTGACCGCGGCTTTGGCTTGCTTTTGCGCCATGGACGGACAAAAGGCGCCGGCTCTGTCGAATCTAGTCACCGCTGCTGCTTCTTTGCATGTTTCCCGACTGCCGCTGCTTTGAGCAAGTGGCACGGCGTGGTTGCGTGATGCCCGTCCGCCTTCGGCCCACGATTCGGTTGGGAGACTATCTGAGACCTGTGGCAACGATGCAGAGTTGACGTCTTGGCAGGGTGCAGAGGGCCCTTGGCGCGGCTTACTTGGCGAGAGATCCCTGGCTCGAATGAGCGTTGAATCGACTGTATCGGGACCGTCTTACCGCGTGGCGTTTTCTTATGGCGTGGTTGTTGGAGGGGGGGTATTTTTCTTCTTTTCAACTTGAACACGGATTCGTCTCCTTTTGTGCTGTGGTGTCTCTCCTTTGAGACATGGCAGATACTTTTTCACGATTCGACTTGGAAACGCCGCCATGATGTACATACTGTCAGGTCGAACTGGGGAAATAATCTTCCGCTTATACGCATCAATTCTATCCTCCAAAACGTCAGATCGCTCATCACAGCAGCTGTGTCATCTAGTTTACACGCAGCCACCGAATGATATCCATCTCAAAGCGACCAATGTGGAAAGACGCCGTACTATTCTCAGAATAAATCATCAAATCACGAAATATGACTGCTCGGCCTACCAAACACCTCAACTATTAGTTTGTATCATGACTCCAAAAGTGGCTGGGGTTGAAAGGGGCGGCTTTTGTCTCAAGCCCTCGGCAATCGCTCATCGGCCACCGCGGCCATTTCTGCATCAAACCTTATAAATAGAGATTTGCGTGGTTAGTTGCAGTTCCCTGGCCTAGGTACGGCCAAAATACAGTGTTACTAGATGTCCTGCATCTAGCCCCTTTTTTAAATCAACTCGATACAAATAGAGTTTGATGGGATTGCCAAAGCCGAGAATGGAAACCAGACATCTTTTCACCTATTCACTCTGGCCTCATCCCGCAGTCGCCGCTCTCACTCCGGCTTTGGGTCACTATTCCTGTCTGATGGGTGTTGAGTGTTTCTTAAGCTCCTCAACTGGCTTGCTTAAAAGACGTTATAAAATCTTTGGTGGGAATGAGTCGGTTAGCGGCGCTTGAATCAAAGTCATGAGCGGTCTACGCGAACACCGGCAGTCGGCCATGCTGAAGCGCCAACCATCGTCAAAAATGCCACTTTCCGCGAAGCAGTCATTTGGCACGACCACCGAGCTGCCGCGATTTGTTATTGAAGAGTTCTCGTATGCGCCCAAAGGAGTGCGTGCTGCGAGAAAATCCACAGCTCTGCAAGAATGTAATAATTGCTATTACTTTAAATAAGCAATTCTATCTTGGCACTACTGCTCTCAACGAAAAGCCCTCGCATTTGCGTGACGAGCGAGGGAAATCCAGCGGGGAAAAAGGAGAAAACCTCTAAAATACACTATTCCCAGTGGTTTCGTCCATGCTATCCAAAGCACTTGAATGAACTAATCTTGTCGTTCCACCCGGGAGGGGCGTCCTCCAGGTCAGAAGTCCAAGAACTAAAGGAGCCGCCTTTACAAGAAGAATCCCTAAGCTCATTAATATCTGCTCTTTCGCGTCCGCTAACCAAACTTACTGATAGTAGGTGCAGATCCCACAATGCGCATCTGGCCTTAGAGAGGATACTTGGTCATTCCAACCCGTCGGCATATCGACTTGGCACAATTAGCAGATAATCACTATTGCCCAAGGCTCACAGAGACGACAGAGATTACAGTCGCACCATGTTTTCAAAACGCGAGGGGAGAGACGGGCATACGGCATTTATCAGCAGGGCAGGACATGTAAAGGCATGGCTTGGCTTGCCCAATGTCCCTGCAGAAGAGGACGCCAGGACGCGGGTTTTCGGCTACCATGGCACTGATGCTCGTGACCAACAGGCAGATGAGTGATGTAGTAGGCTTTAGAGTCTGCATTTTGTAAACGGGACAGCTGACGATGCTATAACGGAGTATAGTGTATAAAGACCTCGTGCGAGGGACCTCGCTCAATATATGCTGCTTGTCACACGGTTACACGAGGGCTACGATCACGGGACCTAGGGCAAAGACCCTCACCGACTTCATGTATTTATAGAGATCTTTGGTCCCTCGAGGCCTTGAGGAGAGCCAAGGACCTTTGATACCAAAGACGGTTATTAGATGAATTGAGCTATTGCTCCAAGCCCTTGTAGAGCCCTTGTCACAATCATGTACTCCGTAGTGCCACGTTGATCCAGGTATATTCAGCCAATCAAGGTCAAGCCCACAAGTGACAAGCTGTCTATTGCCACTGAAAATTTGAATTGACCATTAGTTATCTAGGAGGCATAGTACACGGGTTGTGGCGAAGCTTGTCGGAAATGTGCAGACCATGTCAGGAACCCAGCCTATGGAGCGAGAACGGTGTCAAGACCAGGCCTACCTTTTCACTAAACGGCCTTGTCGGGAACCATTAGTGTCTAAAACACTTTTAGTGTTGTGGTCGAGTATACGTCTGCCGATGCAAAAGCATCAACGCAAGGGAATTGCTAGAGGAGCCTGACGCCTCGTCTTCGTGGGCCTGATTTCCATCAAAAGTAATTGGTCGTTATTTTTCATGTCAACTTGCATATTTCAGATGGTCACCTTGTAGTATCGCTTGAATCAGGTTTACTATGGCATTAAATTGATGCGCTGCATGCTATAGGCAAAGAAGGTACGGGCTAATCGGAAGGGACATAAGAGCTATGCCGGCGTAACTTTCACGAGTCAGACTCGCGTAGCCGACGTCCCCGGAGTTGAGGACCTTGTAACATTTATCGAATGAAAAGTGGACGCTGACTCGGTATGCATCGCACCATGCCTGCCGTAAATAAGGTCAAAGCCATTGGTAACGCGGTAGCATATAGAATGGCAACTCTGACATACAAGCATACACACACGCATATATATACGTGTATAAAGTTTTGGCAGGCAAGGAGAAGTAAATTTTGTAAACTATCAAGAAAAAAAAGATAACAATATCCAAGCACGAGACTTGCCTGTTTCGACCTTGATTGCACCTTAACCCCATGCATCTCTCAACACAGCGCCTGAGTGTTCTGCTCGGCCTCGTCGCAGCAACCTCTGCAAAAATCGCCTCACAGGATTTTATCCCTATTATTGACACCTATACTCGCTATGCGGCCTTTGGATACTGTGATAACTTGACAGACGGCAAGGACGTCAATTCCGGAACTAAAGTTTGTCCTAGCGATGACGGTATTCCCAACGGCTGCGGCGATCTCGCATATTCCGTTGTGGTCTTGGAGTTCCCCAGCGCTGAAGGCGTCTGGCTACGTCGTTGTGAACGAAAAGAAGAAACAAATCATCGTGTCCTTTCACGGAACGGGTAGCGTAAAGGACGCGATAACAGACTTGAAAACTTGCAAAAAAAGGTCTGGAAGGGCATTCTGGGACTCTGTCGGGGGCGTGGCGGACAAGGTTGGCG